CTTTTAATATCTATCTATCTATCTATCTATCTATCTATCTATCTATCTATCTATCTATCTATCTAATTCAAACTGCTTTTCTATCTATCTTAATAGGGCAACTTGAGGCGGTGCAATGGTTAGCAAGCTTGTCACTCGAAACTTACGACTTAGCAATGAGTTCGATCCTCACTGGCTGTTCCTTACTTTCGGCCTTGTGTCATATCTAAGCTGCGTTTGGAATATCCCTACTATTTCTGTCTGTCTTTCTATTTTATAAAAACTGCTATCTATCTATCTATCTATCTATCTGTCTATCTATCAAACTGACTTACTGTCTCTCTCTCTCTCTCGCTTTTCATTATCTATGTATCTGTCTATCTATTTTATTAAAACTGATATCTATCTCAGTCTCTATCTTTATCTTTCAATTTATCTAATCCAACGTCTTTCACTCTTCATTTGAGGGAAAAGTAATCGTACATAATTCTATCGAAGAACAACTCGAAAAAAAATGCCATTTTTGAACTTAAATGTTCATTCTGTTTGAAAAATGATAATAAATTCAAGCTAATCCGAATTAAATAAGAGAATTAATTTCCGTATATAAATAATCAGTTTAAGCTTTTTAAAAAACATTTCCCTTTCATTTTGTCACTCATCGAACCTCCATTTTAACCGCGAAAAAAATAAACAAGAAATTTGTATAAACTTTTTAACTATTTTGCGTAGATATTATTTCTGAGTTTGATTAATTTTTTGTTTTGCTACCAACCGATTCAGTAAATAAAAACATTCATTCGTTAATAAGTCACTGAAAATTGCATTTGAATCTGATAATCACCAGGCGTATTTTTTTTTTGTATTTACTCAAATCTCCAAAGGTCAGGTTGTGACACAAGGTCTGTTTAATGTGAGGAACACGAGATTAAAATTTGATAGATAGATAGATAGATAGATAGATAGATAGATAGATAGATAGATAGATATGAAAAGGACTGAGATAGATAGATAGATAGATAGATAGATAGATAGATAGATAGATAGATAGATAGATAGAAATGCAAAAGGACTGAGATAGATAGATATGAAAGGACTGAGATAGATAGATAGATAGATAGATATTTATGAAAAGATAGATAGATCGATAGATATGAAAGGACTGAGATAGATAAATAGATAGATAGATAGATAGATAGATAGATAGATAGATAGATAGATAGATAGATAGATAGATAGATAGATAGATAGATAGATAGCCCAAAGACAGTGACGCAACTGAGAGAAGATTAATAATGTGTTACAAACTACACGCGAGAGTAATTTACACATTAACCCTATGACTATATGAATATATTTAAGTAATTCATCGAGTCTGAATTATATATATATATATATATATACATTATATATATATACATATATCGATAAATAATATCAGTGTGCAGTATACATATATATATATATATATATATATATATATATATATATATATATATATACATATATCGATAAATAATATTAGTGTTCAGTATACATATATATATATATATATATATATATATATAAATATTCAATATTTGTTAAAATTGAATCCATACGCACACACACACAAAACACACACATACATGCAATCTTCTTTTCTACATTCAAGTTGTATTCATATATATATATATATATATATATATATATATATATATATATATATATATATAAATTCCTTTCTTATTTCAAGTTGGATTCAAATTTAAGACGCATTCAAATTTTATAATTTCTGAAAAACATTTCTATGTTTGTGTCTTTTACAAATGCCTAAATCTAAGGCGCATGATGAGGTAAGGGGGCTTAGAAAATTTGATACTCACAGGACGGATGGAAGGCAACAGGGAGAAAGAGGAAAACAAAGTATAGACTACCTAGCCAGCTTGAGTAAATGGACGGCAGAACGGGGTTGAGCAGAGATCACAGAAAAGACACAATTTTATTAAGACCAACATATGGCAGGAAATTGTGGAGAGCCATAATCGCCCACGCCCTACAGGGACACGGCACATAGAAGAAGAATTAAACCTTCTAATCCTCTCACATGCAACTCTATTTGCTATACATTAATTAAATTTGAATATTTTATTGAGTTAAATTTTTAATAAATAAATTTTTAATTTATTTTATTATATATTTAATATATAGATAGATAGATAGATAGATAGATAAGGTGTGTCACTTAAATTTAAAAAAAAAAATTTTTAATTCCTTTAATTTTTGTTTTCAGTGTACAAACAATTTTCTAAACTAAATTCTAAAATTGGAACATATTAATGAAAAGATTAAGTGACACACTTTATATCTTTATATATATATATGTGTGTGTGTGTGTGTGTGTGTTTACATCATGTCCGTATGTGAGCGTGTGTATTATGTCCACATACGTTGTAACGCACTCCTTTTCTCTGATATTTATTTGTTTTTAGGAACAGGTCAGTTTATCTATCTACCTATCTATCTATCAGAGTCTGTTCATATCAATCTCATCCTGTTCATATCTATCTATCTATCTATCTATCTATCTATCTATCTATCTATCTATCTCCTTTTCATTTTCCAATCTATATTAGCTCAATTTTTTTCATGTATCTATCGTTATATCTGACTCTCTCTCAGACTGTCTATCAATTTATCTATCTGCGTCTTTTTCATATCTATCTATCTATCTATCTATCTATCTATCTATCTATCTATCTATGTATCTATCTATCTATCTATCTGTGGCACCATTTACGAGGCAGAGAAAGAAAGAGAAAGAAAAGAAGGCAGAAAGAAATGCGAGGCGAATCGTAGGTGATAAAACAGCCACACACATGGCCTAAGAGACAATGAAAATATTGATAAGTAACAAGTGAAAAAGTGTGTCATTACAATGACAGGGAATTTCTGAGTAAAAAAAGAAAAGGGAAAGAAAGAAGGAACCAGATGTGTTTTGATAACGGCTATGTTATCTAGGTGCGTACACGAATGGCTGGACCACTGCCCAGGAAAAATTCAAAGTGAAAATGTTATTTCGATAAGTGACGAAAAACAGGACACTAAAACGGACTTTGGACAGATATGAAAATTAAATGCCACCCAGGCAGTGCAGCTGACTGAATTTTTTTCGACGAAACAACTTTTTGCCCTGCGATAATAAAATTATGTTATCAGACATATGTACCGAAGGAAAATGAATGGGAACCAGAAGTGTTTTTATTTCTTCCTTGGAGGCGACAGACTGACTGAAAATTTTGGGGATATTTCTTTTCTGAACCCATGTTACGAAAACCAACCATCTCGATAAATTAGCGATAAACTACCTGACAAACACCACATGTAAAACAAGAGATGTCATATTGTCCTTTCGTGGCTAGAGAAATGATAACGGCGATTTGAAAGGAAGAAAAAAGGAAAGAGAAGAGATAATTTTTTTTTTTTTGTTAAGCAAGGTATTTTTTTTCCCGAAACAAAGCCACGGATTGTTCACGCCCGACTAAGACATCATTGGTCAAGTGGTGATCACGTGACGCACGAAGGAGGAGGAAAGATACCCGACCAAGACCTCATTGGCCGGGAGTGATCACGTGACGCACGAAGAAGGCTGTCAACGCCCCATCCAGAGTATAAGTATGAGAAGCTGCTACGAAGAAGTGGGGAGGGTAGTTCACGCCCCTCAGAGGTATGGTGAGAAAGTGGGAGTGAGAAAAGGGTTACCAAAAATGGAAAAAAGTGGAAAATCCTAACCAGAAATAAAAAGAGGTGGATATGTATTTAGAATTATCGAGAACCCCCCCACCCGACGCCAACAGACCCAACCCGGTTTTTGTCGGCGTCAATAAAAGCGAGACCCCAACAGGCAGAAAACAGTTCGGGCTCTGGCGGCAGAGTTGAGTGTCCACAGATTCTTGAAAAGATTCGACCAAGACTCCTCTTGGACTCCTCTTCAAAGAACAATTATTTTGAAGAGCGACTTAGAATCCAGACCACCGAAATAAGTTTTTTTTCGACTTTCGTCCAAAGACAAAAAAACCAATTTCTTAGAGAGCAAACAACTTGAACCGTTAAAACTTGCCTAACGGAAATCGACGTGTCACAATCCACAGAACGGGTCGGGAGATAGATGCAGTCCTATGTATCGAACAACTAGACATAAAGTTTGTTACCTTTTTCTTTGATACTTTGAACTTTTTGAGTCTTCATTTTATTTTATTTTATGCATATTTGTGTGTTATCACCCCCGTTGAACTCAGTTTGCATTACGGCCCCAACCACTGTTTGATCTCGTCTGCCTAAGATCAATTCACAACGTGGGTAGGCAGACTGGAGATCAATGCAGTTACCATGGTAACCAGGCGTTGGAAGCGAGTTGGGAACGACGAGGCTGATATCAAATCTAACCAGATTCCCACCCGAATCACCAAAAGGTTAGAACGTCACATTTGGGTGCCGCGACCGATACCAAGCCAGTTGGTCGTCACAGGACGAGACAACACGACTGATGCGACAGGCGGACGTCACGTTTGGAGCAGCGACACCCGAACGGAGCAGCGAGGAGCGAACAGCTGGCGCCGCAGCGAGGACGTCACAATTGGTGCTGTTTGGGGACGTCACAACTGGCGCCGTGGTAGATCAGGATAGAACGTCACAGTCGGCGCTGCGACCGGGGGACGACGTCACATATCTAACTTTTCATTTTCCAATCTTGATAGCTCAATCGTTTTTCATGTATCTATCGTTATATCTGACTATCTCTCAGTCTGTCTATCGATTTATCTATCTGCATCTTTTTCATATCTATCTATCTATCTATCTATCTCAGTCTCTTGACATTTGATCGAGTTTCGAGGTCATCGGAAATTCCTGATGAATCAGAATTTGTTTACTACTTGGCAACGACCTTCAATTTTCTCGGAATTTTAAAACCAAGCCGAGTTTCAATTTGTCTTCGTTTTATAATCATGAAATTAAAAAAAAAACCTTTTAGATTTTTGACGATGCTCGAAATGCGACCAAATGTTGGACATGGCATCAAAGACATTACCAGGCAATCCATTGACCAACTGTCAACGGATTGTGACACGGAATGCACCAAAGTGTGGGAGGAATTCGAGAGTTTCGTTGAAGAGACACGGCTTAAGTTGGGAAAGCTGTGTGACGATATGAGAGCGTCGGCGTCCGAACTGGAGAGAAAATGGCGCCGCTCCCCCAAGGAGAGAGAAGACCTTTTGAAGAAGGTCGAAATATGGCGCCACACCGTGCGGCATTTGTTGACGGATGGCACCGACGATGAGGACGTCGTCTGTGGACTGAGGTTGACGGGAGCGGAGCTTTCTGCGCGGCTCCGTCAATCGTTTGCTCCTCAAGAGAAAGGACGTTGGCTGGTGACATTTCCGAAATGGTGTCACGACTCCCTAGAGTCACTGAAGAAAGAAATAATCGTGTGGGAGGCAGAGACATCCGGGCATTTGCAGATGGAAAGTGAATGCCGTCTGCAAGGATCGAACCCGCTGATTATTTATTCGATGGTCGCCGGCGACGAAGACAGTCGCGTCTTTGTTGGCGATTGTCGAAGCGGAACGATCCTAGAATTCATCAGTGATTCTGGGGAAATGGTCGGCCAATGTCCCTTAAAGGAAGGAGGAACGGACTTCTGCCCCTGGGACATGTGTCGCCTTTCGGGGGACATTTTGGTTGTCTGTGGCCTGGAGTTTTTGAAGGACGAAGGAGGAACAAATTTTTGGGGGTCGGGAAGAATTTTCTTTTGGCACTAAAAAAACAGGCGCCATTTTTAGAAATTCAAAAATCATTTGACGCAAAAGAAAAGAAATTTTTTTCTTTGTGTCAAATGAACAAAAAAATTTTTGCTTGTGAAGACGAGTTTGAAAAAATTGTTTGTTTTAATGAAAACCGACAAGAAATCCAAACAATCCACCCCGAGGGATCGTCGCTGGGGGTGAGTATTTTTGCCCCCCTTCTTTGTGTCGGTCCCATGACTGGGAATTTGTGGGGGTCAAGATTTACAGAATCGAAAATCTTTGTTTGGAATGAAAAATGAGAAATTCTTCAAAAGTTTGAAATCGATGAAGAAATTTTCGATTTTTCTTCTTTGGCCATTTTTATTTTGCGTCGGATCAAGAAATTTTTTCTGTTTTACCGAAAAAAGTTTTGTTTAAATTCTCGAAAGAATCTGAAAATTGGCCGAAGATTTTTGCTTCCAGCCGAAAATTATTTGTTTTTTTAAAAAACGATGAAAAAATTTATTAAAAATTTTCTAAATTATTTAAAAAAAAAAAAATATTTTTTTCTTTGCAAATAAAATTTACTTTTTAAATTCATTTTTTGAAAATTTTTCTTCAATTCATTATTTTTTATTTTTTTTTTTTTTGTATTTTTTGCCACTTTTGTCTCCGACCATCAATGGTTGACAGAAGATCTGAAAAGGAAAATGAATTCATTTAGAATTGGCAATAAAAATAGCAAATTAATCGATAATTATTGATCTATATTTTTTTTAATTCATGCAAATTCCAAGGAGATTTTTCTTTTAGGTGCAGGCGGGGTGGGGAGTGAATCTGCGGAAAGAGATTCCAACAAGAATCCAATATTCATTCACTCTTTTGCGATTGTAGAGGCAAATTAAAAGCTTGATGTCACATGGAAAATGGAATCGGTAAACTGGGTTCAAATCCCGGTCACGACTGCGTTACGTTCATCTATTATAAAAGCATGAACATATCTCGTCCCTGCATCAGTCAAACAGCAAAATAAAGGAAACTCATTCAAGGTGAAGGGAAACAATTCTGAAAAAGTAATGGCCGATACCACCCACACTCTCTCTCTCTTTCATAACGACCTTTCCTTCTCTCTCTCCTTCCCGCATTCCTCCCTTTCAATACAATCCCTCTCTTATTATTCCATGAAAACTATTGATCAGTCTATCTGTCTTTCTATCTCTCGGTCAATCTATCAGTAACTCTGTCTAGCTATTTGAAAGAAAAGGGGAGAATTTCTACCACACACTCTCTCTTTCATTCAACATTTCTTTCTCTCTCTTAATCCCCTTCTAAAAATTCACTCAATTATTATCTCATTAATTCTGTTTATCTATCTATCTATCTATCTATCTATCTATCTATCTCAGTCTCTTCATTCTATCTATCTATCTATCTATCTATCTATCTATCTATCTATCCCATTCTCTTCATCCCATCTATCTATCTATCTATCTATCCCGTTCTCTTCATTCTATATATCTATCTATCTCAGTCTCTTCATTCTATCTATATATATATCTATCTATTCCAGTCTCTTCATTCTATCTATCTATCTCAGTCCCTTCATCCTATCTATCTATCTATCTATCTATCTATCTCAGTCTTTTAATTCTATCTATCTATCTATCTATCTATCTATTCTCTTCTCTTCTTTCTATCTATCTATCTATGTATCCCAGTCTCTTCATTCTATCTATCAATCTATCTATCCCAGTCTCTTCATTCTATCTATCTATCTTATTCTCTTCAATCTATCTATCTATCTATCTATCTATCTATCTATCTATCTCAGTCTCTTCATTCTATCTATCAATCTATCTATCCCAGTCTCTTCATTCTATCTATCTATCTATCTTATTCTCTTCAATCTATCTATCTATCTATCTATCTATCTATCTATCTATCTATCTATCTCAGTCTCTTCATTCTATCTATCTATCTATATATGTATATATCTATCTATCCCAGTCTCTTCAATCTATCTATCTATCTATCCCAGTCTCTTCAATCTATCTATCTATCTATCTATCTATCCCAGTCTCTTCTATCTATCTATCTATCTATCTATCTATCTCTCTTCATTCTATCTATCTATCTATTTATCTATCTATCTCAGTCTCTTCATTCTATCTATCTATCTATCTATCTATCTATCTATCATCCCAGACTCTTTCATCTATCATCTATCTATCTATCTATCTATCTATCTATCTATCTATCTATCTATCTATCTATCTATCTATCTCAGTCTCTTCATTCTATCTACCTATCTGCTTCTCTTCATTCTATCTATCTATCTATCTATCTATCTATCTATCTATCTATCTATCTATCCCAGACTCTTCCTTCTATCTATCTATCTATCTACTTCTCTTCTATCTATCTATCTATCTATCTATCTATCTATCTATCTATGCCAATCTCTTCATTCTATGTATCTATCTATATATCTATCCATGTATCTATCTATCCGCTTTTCTATTTATCTATCTATCTATCTATCTATCCGCTTCTCTTCATTCTATCTATGTATCAATCTGTCTATCCCAGCCTATTCATTCTATCTATCTATCTATCTATCTATCTATCTATCTATCTATCTATCTATTCCAGTCTCAACTGGTCTAACCTAGTCTTAGCTGGTCATAGCTTGTCCAAGCTATTCTTAGCTTGGACAAGCTATGAGAAGTATTCGACCATCGGTGTTACGACTGTTATACCTACAGCAAATGGCTACAATGAGATAATACATCAGTACCAATCGCTACTGTCACCGTCAACACATAACGAGCCTGTGAAACACCACGCCACTCATAGCATTAAGCCCACAGGTCCTCCAGTTCATTCTCAACCTCGTAGACTCCATTCGAGTAAACTGAAAATAGCTCGTGACGAATTTGACAACATGCTCAAACTTGATGTAATCCGTCCTTCAGCCAGTCCTTATGCCAGCCCTCTACATATGGTTGTTAAAGCTGACTCAGCTAGTTGGCGTCCGTGCGGCGACCACAGGTTACTAAACGCGGAGACCGTCCCGGACAAATACCCAATCCCGCATATTAAAGATTTCGCCCTTTGGCTAAAAGAATATTCACCTAGCTCGATCTTAAAAAGGTATATTATCAAATCCCCATTGAGGAAGCTGACATCCCGAAAACTGCTATTACAAAGCCTTTCGGACTGTTCGAATTTACGAGAATGCCCTTCGGATTGCGTAACGCGGCGCAGTCTGTCCAGAGGCTAATAGACGAAGTTCTACGCGGAATGCCCTACACATATGCTTATATAGATGACGTACTCATAGCAAGCAAGTCTCATGAAGAACACCGTGAACATCTACATGCAGTTCTCAAAAGATTACGGTTTAAATCTAAATATTGATAAATGCGTTTTCGCAGTACCGAGTTTAACTTTCCTCGGGCACATTTTAGATCAGAAAATTACGGTGATCGCTAATTATCCTCCTCCTTCCACATTGAAGCAATTGAGGATATTTTGGGGGATGATTAACTATTATCGACAGTTCATCCCGAATTGTGCGTCAATTTTATTACCACTGATGAATATCTTGTCTCTGCATAAAAGAAAAAAATCGCAGATATCACTATCACAATACGAGCTACGATCATTTCAAAATGCAAAAGATGCACTGCAGAACTGTGCCAAACTAACTTACTAACTCATCGGAGAAAGCTGACCTCACATTAACAACAGATGCATCAGCCGACACAGTTGGCACTGTGTTACACCAAACTACTAATGGCATTTGTCGTTTTTCTCACTAAAGCTAAATTCTGCGTAGAAGAAATATAGCACTTTTTCCTTTTTGCCGTTTATTTGGCGATACGGCATTATCGACACATCCTTGAGGGTAGAGACTTTATCATTCTCACCGATCATAAGCCGTTAACGTATGCACTGCACGCGAAGTCCGATAAACTAAACCCTAGAGATATTCGCTACCTGGATTACATCAATCAATTTACATCGGACATTCGATTCGTAAAAGGACAGTATAATACCGTTGCAGATGCATTATCGAGACCTACACTTGATGTGATACAATCATCCTCACTCGAATTCGACACACTAGCTGAAGAGCAGTTGAGTGACGACACACTCCCTTCAGTGCAGGCAGATACCTCTTTGAAATTAAAAAAACGTCCACTCCCTTTCACCAACAAGCTTGTTTATTGTGATATCTCAAAAGGCAACCATCGACCCTACCTGCCTCCGTCGATGAGAAAAACAGTTTTCGATCATTTTCATTCACCAGCTCATCCTGGAGCGAAGTCTACGCTGCGGACCATATCTGACAGATTCGTCTGGCCCGGTATGGCTTCCGACGTGAAACAGTGGTCCCGCATGTGCCAGCGTTGCCAGGCAACAAAGATAAGTCGTCATACGAAAGCACCATCGTCAACCTTTACGGCCCCTGACGGTTGTTTTACTCATATACACGCCGACCTTGTGGGTCCGCTTGACAGGACCAATGGATACGAATATATTCTGACTATCGTAGATCGCTTCACACGATGGCCTGTGGCCGTACCGCTATCGACGATAACAGCAGAAGCGGTGGCCAACGCTATCTTTCAGAATTGGATTTCAATATTTGGATGTCCTGTGGTTATTACTACCGACAAAGGCCCTCAATTCCAGTCAACTTTATTTGCTGAATTCGTCAATTTGCTCGGAATTAAACACATTTCTACTACGGCATATCAGCCCTGCAGTAACGGATTAGTAGAACGTTTTCATCGACAGCTCAAGTACGCATTAACAGCGTCTATCAGTGCTCGTACCTGGGTAGATAAGCTACCATTTGTGATGCTTGCGCTAAGAAACACAGTCAAACTAGATCTGAAGTGTACTAGTGCGGAGTTGGTGTTCGGGAAACCAACAACCCTTCCAGGACAAATCTTTCACAATGTACGGATTCTACCCCTACCAGTTATTTCGGACGCAGTTTGTTTAAACTGGACCACATCTTTTTTTTTTAATTTTTACTGTCAGCATCGACAGACTCAAACTAGCATATTACAGTGTGATGACGTCATTCCAACACCATAAAACCCATCAAACCAGAGCAATTTTTTCAAACACACAAACGACTTCTCTCCATTTTATTTTCAACCCAGTCTACCCGCCGAAGTCGGACAGACATGTTTTTTGCTCATTTTTTGCCCATTTTTTATTCTAGTTTTCCTTTATTTTTATTTTTATTTTTTTCAACCCCTTTTAATCTTTTTAAAGACTTTTTCTGAAAGTTTCCTTTTTTGCGCCAGTTTTCCGATTTTTTTTTTTGACCAAAGCAGTCAGAGACGAACATCGTTTTTTTGACCGTTTTTTTTCGACTCTTTTTGTTTTCTTTTTTTCCATTTTGAACTACATTTTTTAAGTTTCTTATTTTATTTTTAATTTTTTTGAAAAAAGTTTTTGATTTTTCTTTTTTTTTTTTTTTTTTCTTAATTTTTTTGCTCTTTTCTTTTTATTCTAGTTTTCCTATTTGATTTTCATTTTTACCCCTTTAATTTTTTCGCAGTTTTTTTTTTTTTTTATTTTTTTAATTTCATTTCTTTTTTTTTTTTAATTTTCTTTTTTCTTTTATTCTTTTTTCCTTTTTATTTCTTTTGTTTTTTTCTTTTAAATCTATCTTTTTCTTTATTCTATGTTTAATTTTTTTTTTAATTTATTTTAATTTAATTGTTTTTTTCCATCCTTTAATTTTTACGTGTTTTTTTTTGTAATCGTTGTATTGTCCAATTTATTTGTTTATTTTTTTTTGTTAATTGGTTCGACTCGCTTTTCTTAGGGTCGGCCATTTTGATTTTTTGTAACTAGCTTCGTTTATTATTGTCCACGTTTTCGTATTTTTTTTTTTTTTGTTTATTGACGTCGGCCATTTTGATTTTTTTTAACTAGCTTCGGCTTTTTGTCGAAGTTTCGTATATTTTTTGTTTTTCTTTTTCATTTTCTAACGTTTTTGTTTTATTGTTTATTTTCTTTATCGTGTTTTCTTTTATTGTTTCGCCTTTACGCGATATTTGTCCTTTATTGTTTTTTTTTCTAATTTTTATTGTATTTTAAATAAAAATTGTTATACGTATAAGTGAACCGTGTTTTATTTGTTCTTTCTCGTCATGTATTTTTTTTTTTGTGTGCATATTTATTTTATTTGTTCATTGTTGTCTCGCTTTCGGGTGAGCTTGTTTTTTTTTTTTAATTTATTTATTTATTTATTTTTTTTTTTTTTTTTTCGCCTATAAGGCGAAACTTGTTTAACTATTTCCCCCCCTTTTTTCACCCTCCCTTCTCTTTTGAAAAATGGATAAGAAAAAAAAGTTCCTTTTTTTTAATATTAAAAAAAAACCAAAAATCGCTTTTTTCCGACGTACTGTGAGAAAATACCTATTTAACCCTAAGAAAGATCCGCTGGACAAGGATAATAAGGTAGATTATCCCGCTCTACCCACTGTTCCAACAAATGAAGAAATTGTGGAAGTACTCAAAAAAGCCTTCAAAAATACGGAGGCCGAAAAGAGCAAGAGTAGTGACCAAGCAAATGACAACTCATCTGCTAATGCAGAGGCTGAGGAATCGCCCTCTTGTGGGGAAGTCCCCTCCTACATGCATTATCGATACTGCGGAGTTCTTGGAGCGTGACAAGGGTTACGCACACCTTGTGGTGAAAGGTGTGCTCTTGCAGGATCCAATAGAACTGAAGAAAATCGAAAAACGAATAGTGTCAGTTTTTGTCGTCGACAAGCGATCTCGCATAATTTGTCGTTCGACTAAAGACACAGTGTTTAAATCACTGGAGTCCCTGGGGTTTAAGCCCCTCCGAATTGTTTTTCATGTTGGACGTGCTGTTACCCACCGCCGAAGACTGCATAAGAGCCACAACTGGGGATCTTATAACGAAAGATCTGATCCTTCGTACAGAGTACGAGAACCGGCGGTATATGAGGTCCCTCCTCAGGTTATCGGAGAGCACCTGGAGGCATTCTTGTCCCAATACGGGACAATACTGGGTGCTTCTTGTGATAGCCTGACCGGGGATGGAGCTTTGAGATGATGCTCGATTAAAAAAAGCCGTTTCGGCTCTATCCCCAACTGTCTTGACGTTGGTGACCTGAAGCTGCCGGTCATCGTGACCGGCCGAAAACCAGTTTGCTGGAAGTGTGGAGTGACTGGTCACCTCTCCTCTTCCTGCCCAGAGAAGAAGGCCTCTGGATCTCAGGTCCCAATCGACCAAACTCCCCCTCTGACCGAGTCTTCAAAAACCGCCACGCCTGTAATGGGCACGCCGGCTACCAGGACCGGAGCGGTTGTACCCCCGGTTGGGTCTTCATCTAAGCCCCCATTCCCCGAAGAGCCTTCTTCCACTGCAAGTGTGGTTGAGGAGAGGGAAAAGGGGAATGGCAGGTAGTTGGCAGGGCCAGAGGGAAGCGTCAGACAGCGGGGCCTCAGTCTCCTGAAGCCCCGGGGACTAAAGACACATACAGCCCCACTCCCTCTGACAACAGTAAGGGCGATGCCCCGGCCTCTATTCAGACCATCGAAGAGCTACAAAAAAAATATGATCCTGGATATAGTAAAACGGAAAAAATTAAGGAGCTAAAAAACAAATTAGATGAACAAAGGAAAAAAATCATCTACATCCAAGAGCTCTCTCACGACACAATCTCCACAGCCCTCTACATCTCGTCTACCAAAGTCCCCCTCCACAAAGAAATCCACTCCCTCCATATCCTCTGACCCACCACCTTCCCCCCGTCCCTCAACCTCTCTTTGTAGAGGGAAGCCTCCACTTGCTTCTCCGTCCCAAATTCCTCTCAGTAGAGACCCCAGCCCATTTAGACAACCATATACACCCCTGCAATACCCCAGTCCTTCCCCTACTAAATCTCCTGTAATGCCCCCCTCCAGTTAAAAAAGACACAGAAGCCCCACACAAGATTCCTCAGGAGAAAAAAAAAAAAAACAAAACACATTTTTAACCCAGGTACTGAGGTATGCAAAATTTCTCCATTACAAGCGGAGAAGGCCAAAAGACTATGGCAATAGAATTAAAAATTTAAAGTACCTACTGTCGATAAAGCAGTTTGCCGATAAGGACATAGATGATCTTCACAATTTCCCTAACGCGCAAAGGGTTTTAACAGTGGTTAGATCTGAGCCGGGGGCGAAACAGATTTGGGCCATGTTTGACGAGGCAATATCTTCGTTCAGCATGACCCCGCCCATTGCCATCATAGATACGGAAAAATTAAGAAAAATGAAGTAATTTTGTGCCGGGAGGGTCCCGGTTTTCGTTCACCCCTCCCTTTATAGAGCACTAAAATTGACTTTCCCCTGGGATATCGGCGGAATCTCCCGAGAAGGTACCATCAAAACTGAAATGGGCCATGGGTCTATGGGAGAGTCTGTCGGTATCCTTACCCCGGCCATGTTCAATTCAGGTAAACAACCCTAATCAGACTTCTCGATGACGCTCTGCTTAGCTAGTTTAAATGACCAGGGCCTGAGGTACGAGGCTCGAAGAGCGAGGCTCTCTCGTGATCTTCAGCGCCTCGGGGTGAATGTGTGTTGCGTGCAAGAGACCCGGTTTTCTTCTCATGACCGTGGGGACATACTGTCTAAGGGGTTCGTCCTTTATTCAGCATGTTTTGATGGTCGTTCGAGGGGTGTCTCTTGGCTAGTGAGCAGGTCTTTGAAGGCTGCATGTACCCTTGTCTTCGCAGATCCGGCGGGCAGGCTTTGTGTGCTGGATGTTACCATAAAGGATAAGGTTTTACGTCTCATTGGGGTTTATGCGCCCAATAACCATGCTGAGCGGCCTGCTTTGTTTCGGCAGATCGAGCCGTTTTGACGACATCTCGTCGGGTAGTTTTAGCGGGGGATTGGAATGCCGTCCTTGACCCCGATATAGATCGTATAGGGCAAAATCCGGGTACTAACAATCCTGATGAAGGCATTTCGGGACTTTATCGATGGGTTTGATCTTGTCGATAAGTACCGGAATGAGCACCCTCGGGAGGTAGCATGGACTTGGACAAATAGTGGCAACTCGGCTCCTGGGACGCTTGCGAGCTACCTGGACCGAGTCTTAGTTAGGAGAGTCGATGTAGGGCTCTTAGGGTGTCCAAGTTTCCACTATATAGTTTATACGGATCATAGGCTTGTCCGGGTCCGTGTAAACTTAGATAAGCCTAAGGTTAGAATGGCTGGTTACTGGAAATTTAACTGTTCATTATTTGGTGAGCAGGGTTTCCGGGACCAGCTGCTACTAATGATTCAGAGGGAATTGACGGGGGCGGTTGTGGGGAACGCCTGGTGGGATAAATTAAAATCCAAAATTAGAACGTTTGCTGCCGATTTTAGTCGTCGACTCAATCTAGATAGATTAGCGGCGCAAACGGCTTTAGAAGAAAAAGTTGATCGGGCCGTGAAATCCCGTGTTAGTGGGGAAATAGCCTTAGCTAAGGCAGAGTTGTCCTCCTTGCTTATCAAGAAGGATCAAGCTCTGGTAGTTAGGGCTAGGCTAAAAAGAATGTCTTCTGAGGCGACGAACATGGCCGCTGAACTGCGTGCAGAGGAAAATCGGAACGCGTCTAGGCGACATATAGCGTGCGTCACATTGCCGGATAAGCGGACCGTGACTACAAACGCGGGCATATGCGAGGCCTTTCGAGATTACTTTCAGGATCTTTTCACCAGGGAGCCCGGTCTGAGCTCTGCTCAGTTCGACGCCTATTTAGCTGACTTTCCCTGCCTTGAGGCAGCTGAAGCGGCTAGGTGCGAGGGTCCCATTACAGAGTCGGAAATCTGGGAAGCGCTGAAGCAGGTTGGCCTGGATAAATCTCCGGGACTAGATGGTCTTCCCTACGAAGTTTACTTGAGGCAGTCGCCCGTTTTTGTTCCTTTGCTGGAACTGATTTTCAACCACTGGATGAAGCAGGGGTCTATACCTCAACGCTTCACCAGGGGTGTGATCAAGTTGCTGCGTAAGGACAAGAACGGTGGGGATGGGTTAGGGAATTTTCGCCCTTTAACCATGTTAAACACTGAGTTAAAGATTTTGGCGAAGATCTTAGCCAACCGTTTGCAGCTTGTCCTGTCTAGTCTGATTGGCCCCGAACAGACTTGTGCTGTGAAGGGCAGGACTATTCAGGATAACCTTCATATGGTACGCTTGATCTTAGAACAAGTCGACAGTGAAGCCGCGCTGATCAATTTAGATCAGTCCAAGGCCTTCGATAGGGTTGACCATCGTTTTCTGGAGGCTGTCCTTTCGGCGGCCGGTTTCGGAGCCGACTTTCGCTCCTGGATCCGACTTTTGTATGCGACCCCCGGTGCGCTGGTGGAGGTGAATGGGGTAAGATCGAAGCCTTTCGTATTGTCTCGCTCCATTCGTCAAGGTTGTCCGCTTTCGCCTTTGCTTTACGTTCTTGCGTTGGAACCATTCCTTCGCAAGTTAAAGGCGAATCCGGTCCTGCGCGGAATTTCCCTGCCTGGGGCTACCACCTCAGCCAGGTATTCTGCCTATGCTGACGACGTTTCGGTTCTTGTGTCGAGCAGAGCCGAGATTGACGAAGTCAGCAAAGAGATCAGTGGCTATGAGATGGTGACAGGGGCCAAGATCAACCGCGATAAGTCTGTTGGCTTGCGGTTGGGTGCGTGGAAGGGAGTTTCTCTTCCCGGACCTTTCCTCTGGACGGATGGGCCGATCAAGATACTCGGCGTCTGGTTCGGTCCTGATCTCCAGTTGGAAATGAATTGGTCGGAGGTACAAGGGAAGGCCGAGATCGCGGTTAATCTGTGGTCTCGGAGGAGACTTTCCCTGAAGGGAAGGGTGGAAGTATGTGTTTCACACATCTAACCAATCCTCCTGTACCGACTCTCTGTATGCCAGACTAATTTTATTAGTACGGACCTTGTTCTCTTTCTTGTGGAGAGACAAGGCCCCTATGGTATCTTGCGAGATCTGTTGCCTTCATCCCTCTGAGGGCGGTCTGGGTATGCCTAGCATTGAGATTCGTCAACATATGCTTCGCATCACCTTTCTAGACCGAATGTGTCGCGGATCGGATGAGGTGGGCGCCTTCTGGAAAGAAGACGTCCGTAAACATTTCCCATCCCTGAGAAGTGTGCACTCGTGCGAGGAGGAGGCCGGCCGTACACCCCGAGCCGAGTGCTCCTTCTACCGCGAATGTCGTCGTGCTCTGAAGCTCCTCTTACGGGCTTCGGATGGCCTCTCCAATGCCCAGGCGTTGTCTCGTAAGGCATTGTATCAACTGTTAGTTAGGGGGGCCGTTCAAGATGATCTGATTGGCGAGCTCGGTCTTACGAAGCAGGAGGCTCGCTCGATATGGCCTTGGGCGCCTGGGTTGAAATGCCTCAATAATGATGAGGCATCACTCACCTGGCTGGTGATTCATGAGGCCCTCTGGGATGGCAAGAGACTTTATTCAGCAGGCTTGGAGAAATATCCAAACTGTCGTCTGCTGTTGGGGAAGTCGAGACCATTGGTCACGCCTTTTTTCAGTGCAGGGCGGTAGTGCCGTTGTGCAGGTTTGTTGAAGGCCTGATGCTTCGCATGCTGCAGGGAAAGTTTTTTGTCCTTGAAGCCAGTTCTGTTTGTAGCAATGTGGTGCCGCAGATGACGAAGGCTGAACACTATGTGTTCTGTTGCTTACTAGGGGTTATGAGAGTCGTGATTTGGACGACGCGTCAGAAGGAATTCTATGAGGGCGAGAAGTTCACTTCTTCCCAACTGATCTTGTTCTTTAAGCATCAGCTTAAAGTCAAGATTAGGACGGAAAGGCGGCGGCTCACCTCATCAGAATTTGGCAAAAGGTGGGTGAATCTTGCGCGTATGTGCCGAGTAAAAGGGGCTGACCTTGAGTGGCATTTTGATGCCGGTTAGGCATCAGGATATTGTTTTCCTGGGTTGAACTTGGGCAACCCATCCCATCCCTGGTTTTAGGCTAGTTTAGGTTTTTTGGTTTTGATTTTTTAGTTTTTTTTTTCTTTTTTCTGTAAACTTAGCTTGGGGTGTGTTTGCTCATTGGCCCCCCCTTTTTTTTTCTGTCCCCTTTTTTTTTCGTTTAGTTTAACTCCCCATCCCATCCCTCGTTAGGTGGTCAGTGTTTTCAGTTCTCTGGTGGATGCGGGACGCCTTTCGTTTCGAGGGTGTGTTTTTTCGTATTTGTTGTTGTGTCTGAATCATGTGTGCGTGTTTGTGTGAATGCTTGGGGGATGAATGTTTTTCTATATTTTTTAAAGTCCCGTGTCGATTTCGTCCAGTTAATTGATTTTACTGTCACATTTAGGGTTTGTGGGGTTTTTTTTTATTACTAACATGATTTTGTTTAGTTTCATGTAAATAATTTTATGTCATATTGTATATATTCATTGGGGTTTTTTTACTTGTTATATTTTATCCCCCCCCAGAACATTATTTGTACATATGGGGTTAATTAGGATTTCATTGAGACAATGAGGTATTTTGGTGGATGTAGTAAGAAAGGTAATTATGAATGTGGTGTTTTGGTGGTAGGATTATTGTTTTTTTGTATGTTTGGGTCAGTGGTTGTGGCTAGCTAAGTTTAAAATTAAGACATTTGTTGATTATTTAATGTTCATCATGGAGCTTGACTTATTTCTCTCTATATATTCTGTGCATATTTCATGTGGAGTGTTGTTTATAAGAACACAGCTTTCCTTCTTGATTGCTATTACATTTCATGGTGACCCTAGCCAACATATCTTACAACACCACAACAACACTAAGACAGTCTGCATCGCTTTTTCAACATAAATTAACTAAAAGTCAACAAAGATCAAAGAAAGACAACCCAGTTGAAACACAAAGTCCACTTCATTCACACACAGTTTTTGTAAATTAGTTAAATAGTTTAATTTCAACATAGACCAAATTATACTGTTTTATACTACCTCATGTTCACACACGTTATTCCACAACTCAAGATCTATCTAATCAGAATATTACTAAAATTCAAATCCAAACATATAAAGACATTTGAATGTTTTAAACAACTTTTTCAACAAATGTTTGTACTTTTTGTTATATAAAAATTTTTATTGTTATATTAAAACTCTTGTCTTAAATATTATTGTTCTCTTGTTGTTCATTATGTTGTTATATTTGAGTTGGGGATTATTAACATCTTCCACCTGCATATCTAATTGTCTCTCCGACAATGTTTTTTTGGGGTTTTTTTTTTGGGGGGGGGTATTACTTTTGATATGTTTTCACTTCCTGTTTTTGTATAGTTTTGTTTTTTTTATTTTAAATGCATTTTTTATCACATTTTCTTTTAATAATTACATTTTTTATCAGCTTTTTGCATCATCATCTCACAATTACAAAAACAGATATTGTCGTTTGTCCCCATTGGTGTCTTTTTCTCTCTCTCTCTCTCTCTCTTTCTCTCTCTTAGATATACTGTTAGGCAGTTCCATAGGTGCTACAGCCTTACATGAAAAGGAGTGTTTCCAGACTCTTAAGTATGTGTTATATATATCTATATATTTATATATATATATATATTACATATTATACCTTCAGTGCAGTGGCGTAGCTAAAGTAAAGCGTCACCCGGGCGGTCCTTTTCAAATGTCACCCCAATGACCTCGATTCACCCTTATGCTGAATGGTTAGCTGTAGCTAAATTTTCATACATGCTCTACCTCTACTTTACTCTACTATGACCGGTACGTTACTGTTTACATGTATGATCCAAGACAAAATCCAATACCACAAAATAATCAGTTCAAATGTTTGAAAATATATATTTATTTTTCCTACTCACAAATTTCCCGACAACTTATTAGAAAATTTCTGACGTGGGGACAAAACTGGGGGGTCATATAAATTATTTCTGGGGTTCATATGCCCGCCTGCGAAACCCTGTGTCTCCACCACTGTTTTCAGACTATTTTGGCAGCTGAGCCTGGTTGAAAAAAATTTGTTGGGGTGACATTGTGCCACCCCTCCTGTGCTGGCATGGAGGGTGGTCCATCCCCCCCCCTTAGCTACGTCACTGCTTCAGTGTTTTGTGTATGAGTGTGTATTGTTTTTACTTTTTCTTCAATTTCCATCTCATTCATTGCTTGTGTGTTTATTTATTGTATTAATATTTTATATGGTGACTAAATCAGCAGATTTTCAGGAGGGTGAATCAAACCAAATAAGAACGAATTTTTTTTTTATTTTGCTATAAAACCTAGGAAGAAAGGATCTTTCATTCAAAATAAGATGACAGCCTAGAGTTTATTTTTTGTGTTGGTAACAGGCTTCAGTCTTCTTGTCTGAATATGGTGACAAATATTGAATATTTGTCAGCTTTGAAAGAACGTCACGCCAACTAAATCAAAAGATGACAAGTTTGAAGTTTATTGTTCTTTGTTCAATTCCTCAACAGAGGATACTATTTATTTTCAAAGACACTCAGGTGAAAACTGATTATTTTCTTTTTCATTTCAATAATATTGTTTTTCAATTGGTTGTATTTTGCTTGGATATACATTAGTGTTCAAAACTTTGAGGCCACTCCTGGTAATTTTTTAAATTGGCCCCAAAAGTAGATGTTTTATACTTTAAATAAGAGAAAATTATTATACACAGTTGAAAAAAAAGGGAAACATGATTTTTTATTAGAAATTTTATTATGACAAAAAGTAAAAAAAAAAACATTTTATGATTAAATTTTGTTCTCATCAAAATGACCTCCTTTAGGCCTGATTACCACAGCACAAATTTTTAGTATTTGTTGCAAATGTTCCTCAAAATATCATTTTGATAATTGATTCCATTCTTTTTTCAATGACTTTAAGAGCTCTTTTTAATTTTTATTTTTTTTTTTTTCACTCTTCTGTCAAGTTTATTCCATGCTAATTCTGGGAGGGGGGGGGTTCAAACTTTTGAACTGTGGTGTATATATTGAAAAGAATTAAAACAAGAAAAGAAAATTTAGCTATTTTTACAACAAAAAAAAAGCCAGATGCTAACAAAAATTATTTCAATTTGTGTAACAAAATGAAAATTTCAACTTTTATTTTTTATTTGGCATTTTAAAGAAAAAATTTCTTCCAGCTGTTTATTGATTTAGGGAATGTTTCGTTTTTTAATGAAAACCCAAACAATCCATTAAGATAACCATTTTGCAAAATTAATTTTCTAATGTGCAGTGGAAATATAGAAGATGCTTTTATTTGACCACTTAAGAGGTCAGCAGATATCTGCTGTCACTTTGTTATTTTTCAAATGCTCGTAAATTTAAATTGGGAGGTTTTCTAACAAAGTAAAACATTTGTGGAATTAAAAGAAGCAATAAAGAAATTTTGCTATTTATCATTTAGTAATTACTACCAGGAGAGCCCGGCGTTGCCCGGGGATGTAACAGTAAGAGATAGATCAAGTATCGACCATCATAACAACTGAAAAATAAAATTGGCAAAGATTATTGTTTAAGGTTAACAGAGACGCATGTCTTAATTATGTTTTTTTTTTTTTTTTTTTTTTTTTTTAAATTTATGATTTTCACTTATTAAATACAGTAAAAAAATTGCATATTTTGCTTGTGGTGATTCATTATTAGAATTCTGATTTGAATATATTTTCCACTCGTTGTTTCTAATACAAAAAATATTAACTTTATTTGGGTTTATTAATTATGATCTAACAAATCTTTTTCATTTAGTAGCCTTTCTGTAATCTTTTACAATTTATGATTTTTACTTTTTTTTTCTACCATCTTTATTTAAAGTAGTTTGCGGTTATTATTTTTAGTCAGGAGGAGTGTATGTTTAGATTTCATTTGTTTACTTTTTGTGTATCGGTCTCTGAAAAAAAAAAACACTGAGTCACTGGAAGTTAACGGCATTCGGACGTTTGAGTAACTGACAGTAACTTCCGGCCTGGTGCGATACATTTAACCGTGCTTTCAAATTGATTTCGTGCAAAAACAATTGTTTTTCCAATATTTGGAACCACCGCAAGGTAATTTTATGTAGTCCTGTGAAGTTTTGTTGAAATCGGTTGAAAAATGTAGGAAATCCGATCCAATATATAAACGTTACACACACACACACAATCTGCGTTTTATAATAAGTAAGAGTAACCTTTTTTTTTCCATATTGAACATTTTTGTAGATTGTCTATTGAGACTAGAATTTTTAAAGCATTGGGACCACTGCTGATTAGATGCCCCTTGTTACTACTTGTATTACAATAGTTTGTTTTTTGTTTTTTTTAATCACTTCATCATAAGGTGTGCAATAAAGTCACTAAGATGCAAGAGGTTATTGACTATAAGAGAATACAAGAAAAATATACTATTAAGGAGAGAAGACAATAAAAGAACAACAATTAAGAAGATAGAAGATAATGAGTAACATTGCATTTAAATTGTTGAAGATGAAGGTTGACTGAGAAGCTAGAAGCCAGAAGAGCTAGACAATTTTTCTCACTTGAATCTGTTGTACTTATTTATAAGACTATCATTTGTCCTTGTTTTGAATACTGCTGCCACATCTGGTCTGGTACCCCTGCTATATATTTAAAGATTCTTGATAAAATCCAAAGAAGAATCTGCAATGTTACTGGTCCTGATCTGGCATCTTGGTTTTACTCACTTTCCCATTGCTGTAATGTAGCTTCCAGCTGCCTTTTCTATAAATTCTGTCATGGTAATTGTTCTGATGAACTTTCCTCTATCGTACTCTGACTTTATGAATTTAAGCGCAGTACTAGATTGGCGGATAGGTCTCATCATTTTGCAGTTAAAATGACTAGATGTAACCGTAAGTTCTATGCAAACAGTTTCTTCTATTGCACTTCTCACTTGTGGAACTCTCTTCTGCTATCTTGCAACAAGATATTTGTATCCAATTCTGCCAATGCAGAATGAAAGAACAGCAAATCTAGAAATGCCAAGTCTTTTAGCTACATCGTTTAAAATCTTTTTAAGTGACTTCAACGTTTTCCGCTGAAAACTATATCGAGTCAATTGCTACAAGGATGAGGAAGGCTGGTTCACTGTGTTGTGCAAAAAAATCTTTTCATCAGAATCCATCTTGCACAATTATAAATCTACCATTCATCCATATATTTAATACTGTTGCCATATCTGATCTGCTTTTCCTACTGTGCATCTCATGGTTCTTGACAAAATCCAAAGGGACTGTAATTTGAAAATTGGGGTTTCACATGATAAATAATGACACAAAATAGTTTTTTAGAGCCATGATCACTAATGTTCTGAGGAGATATGGCAAATGAAGAAGCTCTGACCATTGTATTAGAAAGCAAAAATGACTGTACATCAACTCTAGAGTAGGGCAGATAAATTTTGTAAGCATTTTATTACACTGAATAACATGTTCACATGATAAATAATGGCACAAAATAGTTTTGGAGAGCCATGGTCACTAATGTTCTGAGGTGACATCATACTTATTATAAAACCCAGGTTGTGTGTGTGTGTGTGTGTGTGTGTGTGTGTGTGTACCTTTATATATTGGATCGGATTTCCTACATTTTTCAACCAATTTCAACAAAACTTCACAGGACTACGTAAAATTACCTTGCGGTGGTTCTGACAGCGCCAAAAATTGGAAAAACACAATTGTTTTTGTACAAAATCAATTAGAAAACACGATTAAGAGAAATCGCGAGAATGAAAGGGGGGACAACTCATATCGAGTTATACTTATTATAAAACCCAGGATGTTTGTGTGTGTGTGTGTGTGTGTTCGTCTATATAAGGGATCAGATTTCCTACATTTTTCAACCAATTTCAACAAAACTTCACTTTTTTTGGCAGGTAGGGTTTCTTATTGTCTTGCACACTTTTTTTCTTTATTTTTACACTTAGAATGCTTTAAAAATTCCATTTACAAGACAATTGTTTATAATAAAATTCTATTCAATCGGTAGACTCATAACGATGGAAAACTATGTTTTTGTTTGAGTTTGGGTTTGACCAATTCGTAAAAAAAAAAAAAAAAAAAAAAAAACTAATTAAGACATGCATATCCGTCAACCTTAAACAATAATCTTTGTCAATTTTATTTTTCAGTCTTTATGATGGTCGATACTTGATCTATCTCTTACTGCAACATCCCCAGGCAACTCCGGGCTCTACTTCAAATGAAGAAAAGAAGCATTTGAATTCTGCATCTCTGACCATTGTATTTGATGGCAAAAATGTCTGTACATCAACTCTACAGTATGGCAGGTGGATTTTGGAAGTATGTTACTGCACTCAATTTGAAAGTTGGGGTTTCACATGATAAATAATGGCACAAAATATTCTTTTCTAAATTGTTACTGTTTTTTTTTTTTTTTTTTTTTTTTTAAAGGAAATGAATTTAAAGACTTAGTTTATTTTCAAAGTTTTAGTGTTGGAATTCCATTCCAGTGATCATTGAAAGACTT